GTTAACCGTATGAATACTCTTGGTGGTGGTGGGTTAAGGTGGATACGGTGAGCCAACTGATCAAGACATCCCAGTAGTGCAGTTGCCACATAACTCCTACCAAATCTATGACCCTGAGGACCTTTATGATGGTGAGCAACAGCCGTACGTAGTTCACGGGTCCTACCCCTTACCATCCCCATACTCCCAGTCCTCCTATCCATCACCTCATCTTGCTCAACCAGAGTTTACTCCTGTTCAAGAAGAGCTGGAAGCCGTTGAACTGAGATCCCCAGGAATTAGTCGCTTCAGAAGGAAGATAGCCAAAAGGAGCGTCAAGACTCCAGTACGCAAAAGAGCAAATGAAAGAAAACCCTCTCAATGAACTGTTTCAAAAAGGGAAACGTTTTATATGCGTCTGCGTTGGCCTTTTGTCCAGGTGCCTAACCTGTCACGGAAGATGTTTACAGGCTCTTATATTAAAGGAGAAAAAAAGTGTACATGACCAGTGGACACAACAAATAATGGTAATTATCTTGCATGCCAGAAACTTAGTATGTTAGTGGGTTGGTGCTAGATGATGATGAAAGGTCACTTGTAGATCTTTCTCTGGAGTTCTGTTCCATACACTATTCAAACTGTATCTAAAAAGCCGCATCCGGCTAGCTGGTATACGTAGAACCATTCAGAAAAGTCAGTGTTTGGTTTTCCGTATTTTTCCAGCTGATTATGTTCTGTTAGTTTGGGATTAATTGTTTTACTAGCAGAGTATTGTGACTAAATTCACTGGATAACAATGCATAATCAGGTTTCCTTGATCTCAGCTTATTACCCTTTTGCAAAGATGTCTTACATTAATGGAATATTTTTTTCTAACCCACATTATATAAATACACAAGAATGTTCTGTGGGAGCACACTGATAATTTATTGTGAACCTCTTTCATTTCTGTTTTGTATGCAAATAAAAGTGGCAAGCTTTTATACATTAATTCTGTATTCACTTGACTTTTAACTTGGAACAATTGTATAGATCTCTGGGGGACAGAGTGCAAAGAGAAGAAAACACATTTTTCCTTTTTCAACACTTGTGGGCAAGTTTTATTTTAAAGGATAGAGGCACTTAGTATAAACGACATTTAGCTTTATTTTTAAGATTATATATGAACAAGGGTAGAGAATAACTATGAGAGGAGGTGGTTGTACCATCTATGGACATGAGCTCTTGTGTATTGATGTGCCAAAGCCAAAAGACTGGCAGGTAGAGTCACGAAGGCAACTTGGATCAGCTGAGGACAAGAGGAAGGCAAAACCCCAACCCAACTGCTTGAGAAGCACGAAGCAATTCCTTATATTAAAACAAACCAGGTAAATTATAAAGCGACTCAATAAAGAGCTTTGAACAGCACTATGGAGACTACCCATCAAAGTGAGATTTAAAGTAGAAGCTCAGAAATATTCGTATGTTTAAATTGTAGTCGTAGATTTGGACCACTTTTAATCCAGCCCTGTGAAGACGCGCAGAGGACGGCCTGGGGATGCCAGGGCTGTGTCCCCGCTCGCCCCGGCCTGGGTTGGTCTCTTGGGGCTCAGTAAGGAAAGACCCGTCAGCTTCAGCTTCGGGCCCCTGCTGGTCGCTCTCGTGGCTCACCAGGAAGAAGACAACCCGGTGCCTGTTCTGTGTAATCTCAAATTACCGGGCCTAGAATTCACCCTCATTGGTAACACAAACCTCTGGCGCTGTGCCGAACACCCGGGCTGTGCGCAGGCGGCTGTAACCCGCTCCATGTTTCTGTTTCCCACTTCTTTCTCTCACCCCTCACTCCCACCGCTTCCTTGGAGAATGGTGAGAAAAGTTGATGGAAATGAGAGTTGAATTACCAGTTCTTTACCTGGACTTGCACTTGAAGTAGAAGGTAGAAAAGTATCACATAATTTACAGACTTGAAGCAGCTTAAGCCCAGTTTACAGAACGTCCCCACTTGCACCTGCCTGTGACCACCCACGGTCCCCTACCCCAGAGGTGAACTCTCTCCCTGCCCCTTGGCTGGCACCCCCCCACACCCCCTGCCCCAACGCCTCCTGGAGCCTCCCCCGTGATGGGCCGAGTTGTGGGTCCCCGGGGAAGTGACCGCGAAGGTCACTTGATGGAAAACCAGCGTTCAAGCAATTTTGCCCGTGGTCGTCTCAGAAAGACTTTGAGCTTCACGTTACAGCCCGTACCAGGCGACGGGCTGACCAAATCCCTGTGGGGCAGGGTGCCCCCCACGCCGTGCCTCTCCAGCAGCAGCTCCCTCCCCGGGCCCCCCCGCCGGGGCTGGGCAGCTGCCGCCCCCGGGAGCCCTGGGCCACGCTGCCCACGCGCCACCTCCCCGCCCGCCCTACCGGGTGCGTGCGCAGTGAAATAAATGCAGAGCGTACTTGGCGGTAATAAAGCAGGCACGCTCATCACCATTTTATAACTTACATACTAGAGCAGAAACGTTAATTGCATTAGTTAATTAGCTTTAACTTTCTAACGCCATTTACTGGCACCCTGCTGACCAGGATGCCACATGTATCACCACTCATCCGTTCCCTTGCTGGTTATACCGTGGTAACAAAAAGTAACTAGTGGGCACCATCAAGTTATACAAATATTGTTCAGGATTTGTATGTTCGCCAAACAAAGACACAGACGCATATGGCCAACATTTTCTCCAAAATTCAGTCTCTGAATATTCAGGAGTATCTTGCATTTTTCCAGACTGCCTAAGAAACTGCGGTTGCTGCCTGTGAAGTATTTGGCACATGATGAACAGCTGATGCCACCCAGATCTTACCAGTAAGGGGTATGTACTGTGCCCTTACACAAAAAAGAGCATTTACTTTACTGCTTTAAAAATACTTTTACCAGTTAACTAAATGTGGTTACCGACTTAGAAAAGAAGTCTGCACATGCACTGGATAGGAACATTTCCTGGGATAAACCCATCTGAATGCCAAAGAAGTGCCCGATACCAAACCATTATTTAGTATAATGAAGTATGTTTATAAATAAAACTGTTTTTATGAGGCTTGCAAAAAATGGATATAGAAAACAAATTTTCCTCACCAAACATTGTAAAATTTGGCAGATAACACATCAGCATCTTCTACTGTACAGAAACCAACAGGTGCATCATTTATTTACACGACAGCTTTGGCTTGAGGGTTATCTGTGCAGAAAAGCAATAATGGACTTCAGGGAAGTAATTTGCAGAAGCAAAATAATTTTAAACTTATTTTGCATAATTCAACATTTCATTTTTAATTTTCTTTCATTTTCAATTTCTTCATTTGCTTTTCATAAAATGTTGCTGCTTCGTTCCTTAATACATTCTTTAAGTAAGGCGTGTTCTGTGACTTGAATCAAAATCAGATTTGGGCTTAAGAGGGGAAAAAAAGCAAGAGCATCTCCAGATGATCTGCCTTTACAGTCTGTTATTTCAGTAAGCTCTTTCACAAAATCTATACCATGTTGGGCTCTCAGCAGACCTACTCCTAGAGAGGAAGAGCCACTTAAATCCACCGCGCAGCCCCAGCGGGGTGTCTTGGTTGGTCAAACAGCCCTGCGAGTCCGAGGTGGGCTCTCTTCAGAGCCTGTGCCTAGACGGAGCGGTGCCCGGCTTCCGAAGGCTGGCAGAGCCTTAGGGATACCAGCTCTGCCCCTGCCGCTCCCTTAACGTCTCTGCCAAGAATGAAACAGTAGCAGGAATGTGTTTAATACCACTCAGCAGCTAGAAAGTAGAGAAGAGTCAACTTTGATGTTGCCATTCAGCAAGAGATTTAAGTGCAGAGCAGACTGATGAGTCTGAAAACCAGTGAGATTATTAAAAAAAAACCAAACAAAACAAACAACCAACCCACTACTTCTCATTCTGTTCATTACTCACCTACGTTTATTATGCGGTTCCTGGAGGCTTGCCTTCTCCACCACCACGGTTTGCTGTTTGGATGCAATCTAGCAGCCAGTACCACCTCTGGAATTCATGCTGTCCTTGCTGTTCTGCAGTATTCCACCAGGAAGTCCTGCTGGAACTGAAACATCACTCTGCCAGCACTTAAGAAACTCCAGACACTGTAAAACGCCGCGGTCTTCCTCCCTGTAGCACGCAGGCCCGGCTCTCTGTAAGCGTGAACTGATCTCCCCTTGGCTTCTTTTTTGGTGTTCCAAGCACACCGTAGGGCATATCGCATCAAAAGATGGCCAGAGCTTCAGGGTGAAAAACGATGGTTGGAGAGCAGATGCTTGGTCACAATAACGAGGCCGAACTATCGGCAAAGCATGTGTGCGGAAAAACTCTTTCTAGAAGGTTGCTGGAGACTGTGAGATAAACTCCCCCAGGACATAAAAACTGACCACGACAAATCTTACCACCTCCTCCTTCCTCCAAGATGCATCTTTTAATGTTATTTTTCTTATCTCTAACAGGACTACAGGATGCACGCATGCATGTTTGGTACCTGCACTGCTTTCTCTGAAGAGCTGTGTTTTGCTAATGTAATTTAGCTGTGGGATAAGCTTGATTTTGCTTACTACCACCACAGTAACTTTAGTGGATATATTCACCTACAAAGATAAGGAAACTACAGGCCCGCACAGATACATATGCAGCAAAATCTCACCGTTACTTTCATTGGTATACACACTCAGCGTTCTAGACAAGGCTTTCAGAAGAACCGCACATCTATTACAGAAATAATAGGCAGCTCAAGCCACTGTTTTCTTTTTTACATCCCCAAAGAGAGAATGAGTTCTACATGAATAATTCCCTTTTTCTGAGTAAGACTGGCATTCTCTCCTTCAGCAAGCAGTATAAGGCTGGATCACCTGTTTTACAGAAGAGCAGATCAGATCATTTCCTGACAGCGTGCCTTTGGTGGGAGCTCTGGGACCGGACTTAGTCACTCCTCTTACCGCATGGAATTCAAGTTTTTCAACTTTTTGAGTGAGATACTTCATTTCAGTAAACAACGTACTGTTTTCATGAGATGTAAATATTGATTTAAAATATATCAATTCTTTAATAATAATATTAAAACAAATGTAATTAACAAATACCAGGCCATACAACACAGAGTACAGGTGGTATTAACAATATAATATCTATTGTTAGCTGTTTCAAATACAGTAACTTTTATAATCTTTCCAAATACAGTTTGCTAACATCAGTCAAAAACATTCTGTAAAAAAAGATTTGACCGAGATGCACAGATGCTTCCACGTTAGTACTTTTTTTTCAAGGAGGAGAGACATTCCCAATGGCACCACTTCTTTTATTGTTATTACTTTCTTCGAAAATCTTTGGGTCTGGAAAAAAAAAAAAAAAAGCTGCTTTAAGAAATGTATGGAAACTACAGTGGCTTCGCTTTAAGGATGCAGTAACAGCCATATCTCTGTTTATTTCCTTATTCTGCTGCTTGAAGGTTTTATGCTGAAGAAAAATGATTATTTTCTGGATTACATAAAGAAGACAGAACAAATCAAAGAGGTTTACTAAGATCTCTAAGAATTTACAGACATCAGGATTAGCTGGTCAAGGAGCCACTCCTACTTTCCAAAGCAAAACGAAAAGGATCTTTAACTGAGTGCAGTCTCACAATGACTTTAACCACGAGTATTAATTCATCTCCACTTCCACAAAATGAATAACCTGTGCATAAAACAGCAAGTTTTAAGTTGACAGCACAGTCCACCACAACACTATGAGAATAATTAAAACCGATGATTTAAAGAAAAACCTACTTTGAATCTTAAAGGGGTTTGTGGTCCCTTCTGCTTGGATGACAAATGTGGAAAACGTTCAGCCACCAGACCGGTTTGTAACCCCCCGCGATCCCTGTTCAGGCCTGTGTCACTCACTCTGCCCGTCACGCATCCGCAGGGACCACGTTCTCCCAGAACCTGCGAGGCTCGCACCAGACCCTGGTTTTTAGGAGAAGGCTCTGTCTGAAGGCCGGATGAAGCCTGCACCCCTAACAGCTCCCGGAGAGGCGTCAGGGCTCTGCCCGGGCGCTGCTAAAACGCGGAAGGGTGCGGGCCGCCGGGCCCCGAGGTGCCGGGGCCGCGCTTGCCGCCCGGTGCCCCCGCGGCCAGGCACCCCCACCCGCCGCACCCCCAGCCCCTTGCTCCCGAGGCCTGCGAGGGCTCCTCGCGTACACGGATCAGACCTGGCAATGCGCGCTCTGTCCCACTAGAACTGAACGAGAGGGGTAAGAACAAAGGTTTTCTAAACGCTTAACAGGATAGAGAGTCAGGGGGTTTGCTGTGAAGTTAAACGAAAACAGGCCGGAATGCAGGAAAAGCTGCAATCCACAACAATAAACCGAGGGAAATTTACAGTGGTGGTAAATTTCATCATTAATTTTCTTAGTCAGTGCAAATTAAAAGCAGACAGCGATGGAAGCAGGGAGCTTGCTTTGGAGACAGAGAGCTTAGATGGCTGCAGAGATGCCACAGAGACATCCAATACTTAATTAAAGCCATTTCATTACAGTCGTATGTTGCAGATCCAGCGGTTTTCAATCAACAGCACTGCAAAGAGAAGTCATCCATGCAATTCTTGTACAAGCCTGCAGGTTCTTAGGTGGAAGCAACTCTGGAATTCAGTCTGTGCTATTTCAAGTGTAACATAACATTTGATGATTATATGCATTTTAGAGAACAACTCGGAAGATAAACTAGTGTTCATACTGTAATGAATCATAAAGCTTGTTTTCCATTTAAATGGCATATTCTGTGTTAACATTTGGACTTGTATCTTTTGTGCACAAAACTGCTGCAAGCACGATACCCACTGCTTATGTACTTGCTGAATGCTGGACTTGAACATACTCAACACTGGATGGCAAGTATGCACTGGGAAGTCAAGTCACGGTTCCTAGAATCCTGGATTTCAGTACTCAGACACATGCCACCTTTTGTAACTCAGCTCACATCCCTGCATACCAAAATATATACTTCTTTGTATCACACTGTCTGTGCTATATTAAGAGTGAGACTTTGAGAAATTCTCAGCAGTGACTTAGAGGTTGTATCACTGCACCCATCCTAGATAGGTGGTGAAGGATTTTAGAGATGCAGTGTGGTAAAGACATCATTGTCTTGTAGCTTATAGTTATCACTCTTTTTATACAGGCCAATTCATCCTCTTGCACACTGCTCCAAGGATTTTCTTTGAATGGCACATTTAAAACTTCAATCTAGGGTTATGTTGAAGTGCTGAAGAGCTAGGGGTCTCACAGTACTTTGTTCTGAAAATCCCTTTTTTTTTTTCTTTTTTCTTGCTTGTAATCTGCATCTCGACATTAATGCTCATTGTCTTAAAAGTTAAATGCATAAAACATTGGACTCTTAGTTTGCAGTCTTACAAAGTTAATGAAGCTTAAAGGCAGAATTTTCTACACTGAAACACTTGTGTGAACAAATACAAAAGTTTTTAAAGCCTTTTCTATTGCCATAGTAGGCTTTTATGCCTACTAGTACTTGGCTTTTGGAGGCCACAATCTCTGCTTTTAAAGAGGCCTTGGCACTAGGAAAGCTAAGCCTTGAAAAACACTGCTTTGGCAAAAGTGTTATAAATATTTTGTCAGATGAAGAGTATGAACCCACTAAAACCTTGACTATTCAGGGAGAGTGATGAACTACTTGTGAACACCAATGGGTAACTGCTCATTGATAAACGACATAAATCCATGCAAGAGTGTTCTTTGATGGCAGTGCTGTTGGCCTTCCTCAGCAGAGCACTGAAATTATGCATCTGGAACAAAGGAAATATCTCATAGAAGAGATGGTTCAGAAATTCAACCAAAGACAAGACTTCACATAGCTGCTTTTTTTTTTTTTTTAAAAAAAAAAAGGTAATATTCTTTGGGAAAAATATTTTGCTATATTGACAGCAGGCTCCAAAGACAGAGGAAATAAGAGGCAGAATGTGGGAACTAGCATCCCTGAAATCCATGCTGAAAGTCAAAGTGTTACGGGTTCACTGAAAATATGCAACATTAGTCTGTGCAGCAGATGTCTGCCACCAAAACATGCAAAAAAATATTTGTCCCACTCGCATTTTATACTGCACATAAAAAGCATTAAGACACAGTCCAGTGAATTCCAGGCAAAGTACTCAGCAAATTAAATTAACATCCAATTACACCACACCTCTCTTTCTCTCATTTAACAAATACTTTACTATTGAGTAAAAGAAACTGAAAAGCTGGTCCTAAACTCTGATTAGAGATTTTAAATCTCTGAATTCTCCCAACTTTCTTCCATGCTCACAGCTATCAGAAGAGGAATACAGTTGATGAGAAATTCTGACAATCTACAGTCACTGAACCTTACAAAACAGATAAACCTGTGCGCGTGTGCAGTTCATAGGATCAGTTTTTGCTATGGAAAATGGGAAGTTCTTAGCGGCGCCCACTGTAACTGGTTCAGTCTATTTTATAGTCTGATTTCTCTCACACATATACCTGAGCATACCTCTTTGTAAACCAATACTCTACAAAGCTTTTCCATTCAGATATGTCAAATTTCTAAATGGCCTCGAATTTGCCTTCATTTTGAAAAGAATTGCTATTCTTATCTCTTGATCAGTGACAGCTTTTAATGGTAATAATTTCAGCAAGCGTTAATCCAGTTTACAATAGAGACAAAAAGTACAGTATCAGGAATGAATGTGCATACATTTAAAAAAAAATTCTGAAACTAAGTTTCATTATGTAACAAAATAAGTCAAATGCATCCTTAAAACTTAGTAATCATAGCTATGTGCATCGACAGTTTGTGTCTCGTTAGCCTCCACCATAAATCCCACATCAGAGAAGCTCCATCACTGACAGCAGTAATACTGCTACATATGCTAAATTATAAATCATACAGTTAAAACTACTGCGGTCCTGTGACGTTGGCAGATTACAATTCTGTAGAAAGCAGAATAAAACTCTGTATTTGCTCAGAAAACAAGTTATTCAGAGTGCAAGGGAAAACAGAACTGAAACAAGACTGAACTCTTCGTACTAATTTCAAACTGGGAACTGAGATAATAAAGGCAATCTTCATTGAAAAATCCTTAAATATATGACATCATTGGCTCAAAAAGATGTCAAGATTAGAAAACAAAAGTTCTCAACTTCCCGATCTGCCTCTTTATAACTTATTCCAAGATATCTACAGATTCTGAATAAACTAATAAGAGGAAAATAGTGGGAAGCCAGTTCTGCCTGGCTCACTACTACCAACTGTTTTCAGCATGATATTAGCAAATACAGAGTGATCTCCAGGAAAGGGATCTGTGAACGACCTGTGCCCTGTGAAGATTCTATACGCAGCCTGCAGCATTACATGCTCAGCAGAGCAGAGAGAGGAACGGGACAACTGGTTTATAACTCCAAGAAAAGTTTGTTTCATATACTAAAGGACCTGAACCTCCTTATTATAGGGCTTTGTGAATCTGGATATTCTTTTCATACTTATATGAATGTAATGAAAATCACGGGCTAACTGTACACTGTGTAAAAAGGATAGAACGTTCACTTGTGAACACACTGTTAAAGGTTGGCTCTACAACACTCAGCAGAATATGCAAAATGTTGATGGAATTAAGGATCAAATGGAACAGTTATTTAAACGCGCAGAAATAATGTGCTATACGTAAGGGATTCTGAAGACACCCTATACACGCAGGCTATCTTTAGTGATTAAAAAAAATCAAAGCAATTTGTGAAATCTCATTGAATTGCAAAACTGACTTACTCTTTCTCAAAATCAGAGCCATTCAGATACATTAACAAACTCAAGAGTAGTTGGAGGGGCTACTTCAGATGTGCAAATGCTTCAGGCACCATTCCCCTACAAATGTTTTAAGGGTCCTGGTGGACACCAAGTTGAACGTGAGCCAGCAAGGTGTCCTTGCTGCCAAGAAGGGAAATGGTACCCTGGGCTGCATGAGGAGCAGGTTGAAGAGGACAACCTTCCCCTCTACTCAGTGCTGGTGAGGTCACAGCTGGAGCTCTGTGTCCAGTTCTGGGCTCCCCAGTACAAGAGAGACACGAACATACTGGAGAATCCAACAAAGGGCCACAGAGATGATTATGGGACTGGAGCACCTCACATATGAGGAAAGGCTGAGAGAGCTGTGACTGTTCAGCCTGGAGAAGGCTCAGGGGGATCTCATCGAAATATATAAATACCTGGAGGGAGGGTGCAAAGAGGACAGAGCCAGGCTCTTTTCAGGGGAGCCCAGTGACAGGACCAGAGGCCGTGGGCACAAACTGAAACACAGGAGGTTCCCTCTGAACATCAGGAAACAC